CGTTTTTACATTCGGCACTGAGCCCTATTAGATACACGTTTCGAGCAATCGTGTCTGTCAGAACACACGTGTCAGAATTTTTTGGTAGCTTTCACATACTCCAAGATGATGACAAAGGAATATATCAGCCTAGTTGGAATGCCACAAAAAAAAATTAATTTGCTGTAGTGAATTTCTCAAGCAATTCTCGGATAAGTCGGCTCATGCAGAAGTAGAAATCAAAGAGTTTTTTCCCATGTTTCTATCATATTGACTGAAAGTATAAACAAAACAGAATTTATCGCTATCCTCTTAGTATTTTTACTTTCCATTCTTTTGACGAATAATAATTTCGTGATATAGAACTTTATGAGGTGTACAAAGGAATCTCTCTCCCTGATAAGTAATTTCCTTGTTCATTGCTGTTTTTTTGGGTATTTCAATCTGAACAATGAAGTGGTAGGAGATCATCATGAAAAATAAGAAAAGAAACTTCCTATGTTTTCATACCACATGCATTTGTAACTAACATTGCTGCAGTTTTGTCCTACAAGGACATTTTCAAATGAATTCTCATTTTTCATGAAAAATGAATATAAACCTTTACTAACAATTTTTTTTGATCAGGCATTTCGATGGCAATACTTTTTCGAAGCCTCGAAAGCTCAACTTGATCAGCTTTGTGTTTCTCTCACTGAATGATTGCATGCATAAGAAGCTGTTCGTTTGAGATTTGGGTTTCTCAATCACCTAGTGGAGATTGACTATTAAAAATAAGTTATAATAAATTGACTGTAACTAATTTTTGTTGAAATATTTTTTTAAATTGTCAATACATTTTTGAAAAACTACGGAAAAAAATTGTTCCTTTTTTTCGGAGAATAATTAGGTGTCTCCGCTCCTTAGTTGCCCCAGGGCCTACAGACCTCTAAATTTGGCCCTGCATCAAGTTACATTGTTTTCCAGAGACTTGCAGTTGCTGCATTTAGTTAATCGGCGATGATATTCCATTATTCAATCACAATATTTTGCTCTAAGACAATTATGTCTTGATTTTGAACATCACTGAAAATTTCTGCTATTTGAAATTCGATGTTGAATGTTATTACCTGATTGAGAGTTTTCATGAGTGCAAGATAATATAAACAGAATTTGGAAATATTAGTTAGGTCATCAACTACTTATACGAGTCTCAGTCACTGCTCGTATTTCTATTAGTACATGGTTGTGGTTTTTTATACATGTTTGTGAATTTGGGAGGGTAAGTATGCGTGTGTATTTAACTCTGTGATAGTGTTTATATGGTGATTCCAAACTCTAACATAACATTTATATTTTTAATGGATTTGCGGGCAAAATTTGTTATGAAACGGAAAATGCATTTCAGTTGAGCCCAAAAAAAATTATAAACATGACTGGTGATAATTGCTCGATGGGCGCGGTAGTTTCAATAATTATCTATGTATATGAAAGTGAAATTACGTATACAAGTAGTATCTGTAGTCAAAAAATAAATTGTTGAACATTCATAATCCGTATTTGTTTATTTCTAAATATTATAAAATATGGTACTGCAGTGCCTGTCTGTCTGTACTCGATCCACTCAAAAACTGCCGAAAGTTTAAGGTTAATGACTTTAGGTTTGTAAGAAAATTGAAAAATTTGAATTCTTATCTTTTTTTTCGCAACCAAATGAAGTGTTGATTCCGATTTGGCAAGCTCTCCGCCGTGCACATCAGATTACCCTAATGCGGTAAAGTATGGGCAGTTGATGCTCCTCGAACCACTATATCTCAAAATCTGTTAATTTTTGTCCATTGCACCCATGGGAACCTTCTATATATTATTAAGTTTCGTAAGAAAAATAGAAGATTTCACATTGAATCGTATAAGAAAGTAAATAAAAGTACAGAGGTGTATGTACAATCTTTAGGGGCGGTACACTTGTTTGGAGGTGGGGGTATGCAAAAAAATGATGTATGTATGTAGTACTATCAGATGGGATACTGAAATTTGAGGACCATATAATCCCTCTCAAAAAATTAGTCTCGGGATTTTATGCTCTAATGGTTTCAAATGAACTGGGGTTACAGTGTGCTGAATAATAATAATATGCATTAATAGATGCACATTTAAGGTACATAATAACATTCTGAGGTGCATACAAAACTCAGTTGTTAATGTCATCTTCAAAATGGCAGTTATACATATTTGAAAAGCACAGATTGCTGTGGACCATTATTCAATAATTATGCAAAAATAACTCTATAAATTGCAAGTTGGGTGCACAAAAATAATTCCAAATACAGAAAGGGTAGCAGAGCCTATAGTACTTGACAGACTGATCAGTTTATAATCCCGAAACCAAACTCGAAAAGTATGTGATTTACAATGGTTTGAAAATATTCAAACCATTGTCACTCAAACCTGTGGCTGTCAGAATGGCTGAAAGTTATGATATGTTCGAAAAAAAAACTCCAATGTCACCTAGTTGAAACCTAGAGCCTATGTTTTCTTTAAAATTTCATTTAAACATTGTGAAGTCTTTCTGTATGCCTTCAGTTTTATATTTTTTTACTTTATAACGTTATTTTATTGCAGTTTTCCAACAATTTTTTTCATAAGTCATGTATTTTTTTAACGTTACTTACCCTTATAAAATTATTTGTCACCATGATTTGTTTTTCTTAAGACAATATATTTATCTATCAATGACTTGAGTCATTATTATATGTGATAGGGTGAGTGTGTTAAAAATATCGCCAAAACCGCATCGCAAACACTGTGAAATTACTCCTCAACAGCTTCAATCTTTGAGATACAAATTTGACTCTCTCTGGAATATTACTGACTTTGAAACCTCCCTGTTTAATACGAAAAAGATCAATTCATTACATTAGCGACCCTTCATTGACTCTTACTCTGACAACTTCAGAACATTTCAGAGGAGTTGGAGATCTTTTCCTGCATCACAAATACTTTTATGGACGATCATTAAATTTTTTTTCATTCTTCTACCACCAATTTTCGATATCCCTTTTTTGTAAAGACCTGCTGAACTACCGCTGCCAAAAATGACTTGATTGAAGCTATTTTGCACTGTCGTGATGAACACGAAAGATTACAAAGAGGAAATAAAGAACATACTCGGCCACAAAGCCTGCGACCTCTCACATGTCAGGGGCGTATACTGAAGATTCGTGAAATTTCATTAGGGAAATGAAGTATTCCTTAAACATCTGAATTCAGTCAATTCAGAAATCGAATTCAAAATGGAACCGGAAACCCAAGGATCAATCATTCTTATGAGCGCATTAGTAAGTAGATGTGAAGATGGGATATTTATAGAGTGTATGGGAAACCAATACAGCAGACAGGTATCTGAATAAGAATTCCAACCACCTGCAATGAAAATAGAAGGGTAATCAAAACGATAGTCGATAGGGCCTGACGCATCTGTGAACCAGTGGTGAACAATGTGAAAAAAGCCTTCAGAAGAAACATGTATAGTGAAGCGAAGCCGAAATCGAGCGTACAGTAGAATAAAGATAATGAAAATTTTTTCCATCCCATGCCAAAAATGTTACGGATCGTATCGATAAATTTCTGGATAAACACCAAAGAAATTTGATATTTAGGTTAACAAAATCATCAGATAGAGTAAGATTTCTGAAGAACGCTATAGAGCAGCTTGCAATAACAGGGTTTACCGAATCTCTTATAACTATGACCATATAGACATGTATGTATTGGCCAGTTTATCTCAAGCTGAAAAATATAATGAATTGTTGGAATAATGTGAAATAGATATTTCTGGTAATCCGTTTCCATTTTCCTACAAACGGAAAACTTCACAAGTCTTCGATATTAGTACGATCACGGTACAGACGATACATATTAATACGTCGAGCGACAAAATATAGTTTAACTCGCATTCACAGTGATTTCATGAAGGAACATTATAAATAACAACCATTAGGTAACGAAATCAAACATTGTGAGGATCATTTATTCGGAAAAAAATCATGTAAACATATTTTTTCAATTAGAGCATCTTTTTAAGGAATAAAAATCTGTCGTAATGAGTTTCAAATGGCAATTTTGTTTGAATGATTTGTTTGGAAGCTTTCTTTTCACTGGATCTCAATAATGTTTTACTTTTTATATCACGTAAATTCATTTAAGATTCTTCGAATGGCTTTATTAAAACATTAAGATGAAAAAACGCAATAAACTCGGGCCAGGGTCGAATTTAGGGGAGAACAGGTTGGGCTACTTCTCTGGGGCCNCCGATTTGGCAAGCTCTCCGCCGTGCACATCAGATTACCCTAATGCGGTAAAGTATGGGCAGTTGATGCTCCTCGAACCACTATATCTCAAAATCTGTTAATTTTTGTCCATTGCACCCATGGGAACCTTCTATATAACATTGTTTTATTTTAATTTATATCTCAAACTCCTACAGGCTAATATTAATTGTCGTATGAAATTATTCAGTTAAAATTGGCCAAAATACAAAGAATTCTAGGGTATTGGTAAAAAAAATTAATCATTAACAAATAATCATCTACACGCTGAAAACTGCGATTTTGCTAACAAATCTGTCTGTCCGAGAATTGTAACTAGTGGATCAAGTAAACAAATACAATTTTAATATTTGTGATATATTTCGATATGTTTATTGGAATTTTGTAACTAGATCAAGAGCATTTCATGATGAAATAACACATTTTTTAGGGTCAAATAGTGATAGTCATCATTTCGACACATCTTGAAATATTAGTATTATCATTATTAGCAAATATGGCTAGAGATATTGCTGATAATTGAAAATAGTATAATAATATTCCGACTCATTGTGAACATATTTTTGAAATGGAAATCATGATAATCATTCCTTTGTTATCATCATCACTCTTCTCAGGTTATTTAGTAGATCTATCTCTATGCACTATTCTATTGTATGTGTCTATCACTGTCTATCGAATCACTCTTAACGTTGCCCTTTATTACTCTTGAAGGTGATAGGTGGTGAATTACAAGAACGTTTGATTCCAGTTCCATACAGCAAGAGCTCGACTGACCAAGCTGTAAGCCGCTTTTCTACCATCTTTCTGTCCGCTATGTATCTTTAAACTGCTGCTGCTCGCTCTTGTTAGTTTGTGTTTGGCAGCGCTTTTCTGCGTTTGCATTGGCACTATCGAGAAAACTTGAGCTACCCACCAGGGCGACTCAAATTGTCTTGATTCGTCCTGCCAATATAGAAGCAGCAAATACTTTTTTTATGGTTTTTTCGTATTTCTTTTTTCTGACGTCCAGGTTAGAAGCTTAGTACGTTTATTGTGCAGTCAGGTGCAAACCTGTATATTATTTAAAGTAATTTTAGATATTGATTCGAAACTTATTGAATTGGCCTTGATTTAACCCTAGGCGTACTAAGCTCACGATAGGCTCATTTTTGTTTGCATGCTGCATGCGTTTTGTTTTTTTTTCACATTATTTTCACAGATGCATAAGATCGCTCAAAACGACTGCTCGGCCGAATTAATTCGGTTCAAATTAAGTAAGATGTATCCCGCACAATGAGGTATTCACAACGTTTAGGCATAAATAAAATAATTTCTTTGATAGCTGCTACAGATTGTGATATATTTACTGCTTATACTTCTTTGAAAATTCTTCATCGGGACAGTTAAAAATTGAAAACAAAGGAAATTCTCGATAAAACCTTCTCGAAAATTTGCTTGAATTGATTCAAATTGCCTCCAACAAATACTTCGTTCTCGAAATTTTTGCCTGACGCTTCTAAGCTATGTTGAGGGCCTCTTTGCACATAGTTCTAGTATTGTTCGTTAAACTACGTAGAGGCTTCCATATGTTCTATAAAAATTATTCTAACGTTGTTTTTGTATTGTAAACATTTCTATATTTATATGTAGCATCACACATTTCTATATATGTAGATGTATACCAATTGCTTGTCATTTTGTATTCAACTATATGTATGAGTATGTGTGTTCGTATACATATAGATATACATATTGACAAGGTGTACTTAGAATTGTTTTTATATTTAACACTCTAGCTGTTTTCGATATCCTTTTTTTTTTAATAAAGTACATAAACATTTAACCACTTTTATTTTTATCCAATGCTAGGTTTTATTAATCTGGTATATTATTTTTATGTGTATTTATAAGATCTACAAAGTTTTGTGTGTTTACTAATACCCACATATACATACATACAGGTGGGGCAAAATCACGTAAGCAAAGTAACCAATATCTGGTAAAACTGTATGTATTTGAATATTGTTATTCGTGTGTGTTTTAAGTGGTGCTCAGATAATTTAAATTGTGTTGATTTGTGAAAATTCTGCAAGTTCAATGTTTTAATCCTGATCACTCGGTATGATAAGATCTGACTGCTTGCTACAAATGACAGGCAGTGATATCCATGCAGAAAATAGAATTATCTCATGACATCTCCTCTGTTGTCTGTCTGGACATTTTTGCCGCGTCTCTGTAAACATACTCGGTGAACCAATTTCAGAATTTTTTTTTCGGTGTATGGATCGACTAAGGGCTGAATTATTTGTATCAGTGCTTCGAAAATGTCTTCCGCAATTATAAAATCACTATATAAACAGTTGATAAATACCACGAATTTGACCAAGGTCCACTTTTAATATACTTCTTAAGTAAAACTGAAAGTTAACAACATTTATCTGGTGGAATACATTCTGATACTTATGAATATTTGGACTATTACTCGTAACAAAAGTATCGGTTAAAACCTTCTGAACATTTGGTCCACTGGGTATAGATGAATTAATGACTATATGTTTACATCGACTGGAGGCATCCAGCTTCATAGACGGAATATATGTAAAGCTTTGACCTGCCTCAACAAATCCAGTTCATGGCATGATGGCTCTACACAAATACATTTTGCTCTGGCAGTGGTACTGTCAAATTGAAATGTCTCCTTTCACGTGTATGTATGCGCCACAGCTAGTTGTGTGGCATGTATATATGGATATTGCATGTTTGTAAATGATTTCTTTTTTTAGCCCAACGTCCGGTTCTCATTGGACACGTGCGTATCTTACTTCATTCTAAAGTTATTCTTTCCTCACACTGGCTAATTGGTGCTCCACCGCACTCGAATGCTAGCCTTCTTCTTTCTTGCCTTTTGCAATAAACATTCGAACTTCCAACGTGGTATACAGGCTGGGATGGAAAACGTTCGTAATATTAGTAAAATGATTTACTTACTGAAAATAATCCCCGACAATTTTTTTGTACCAAAAATTGTAATCAACAAATATGATTCGTTAGGGTTTTTCAAGGTATAAATTAAAACTGCAATAACCTAAAATCTCACTTCACGGTTTCTATCCATTTGTTTTTTAACAAAATGGATTCTACTGATGACTGTGTTTCTGAGTCCTGTTTTGTTGGACAGTCTGACAAGGCTCTTTATCGCAATTTGTAACACTTTTACATAAGAAATTGTATATCATGTAGACTGAAATTTTCATAAATAATTTATCAAAGTATGTAATTGGTATTAAACATTTACCTGTTCACATCTGGTTGCCAGAAAGTTACAGCCAAGTGAGAAACTCAACCCAAACTTTTGAAATTATTCACATATCTCTCTTTGAAATAAAATTAGTTTGTTTTTGAAACCAGGTAAAAACAATTGTTGGCAGAAATATTATATAATATTTTTATCAAAACTGATTTTAGTTAAATTTTGATAGGGCAACCCTGCAAAAAAATTATATCTAACATTGGAATTTGTTTAAGAACAGACGAGTGTAGAAATCATGCAGTGGGATCTCTATAATAATTGATTCGTTGTCACCTGGAAAAGGGTTTTCGACTGCATTTTTGGGAAATCAAGCTGACACTTCTCTGCATGGAAGATAGGAAAGAACGGTGCAATTGAATGATATAGTATATTGGGTATTCATTTGGAATAGATGTTAGTATATTCACTTATTTTCGAAGTTGTGTCATGACATGTCAAAATCGTGGATCATTCTGGAGGATTCTTTCTAGTTTCAGAATCGCCTAATCCCTTTACCTGTATACTGGTGAAGTTCTCAAACACTATTGTTTTCTGAAGTTGCATTTTTATGAAGAATAATTTTAGAAAATATTCTGCATTTTTACCTCGTTTTATTCACTCAACAAGGTACATTTAAAAGTTACATTTTCAACTTTGAATTGAAAATGGTTAAAAATACTTCCTGGTTCCTACGTGATTTCAAAAATTTTGCGGAACCGTAAGCTTGAAAAATAATACAAAACACTGACACCTAATTGGTTATTTCCAAAATAAGTACAGAATTGCAACACTCTTCTCGACGCATGTTCCACCAACCAAGTTGTTGCCTTCAGGACATGAAATAGCCTACTTCATATTCTTCATCAAGTTCATCATTCATTAGTTTACGTTATCTCGCCAACTAGGTTGGTGAAACGCACGTCAAGGTGAGTGTTGCAGTTCTGGTATTTGGAATCAGTGCTTGTTTTGGGTCTATTCAGGTCTACCTTTAAATTGCCAAAGAAGACCTCTGAAGGTACTGAAGTGAAAAGGTTGTGAGTTATTTGTTTTGAAAATAATTATAATGTCTATTTTATTATTCCCAAGGCTAATTCAGAAAATACCACGAGCATAAGAACTCTTCAGTTGTATCAAGACTGAACTTCAAATATTGAATTTGTTTTAGTGAAAGATAAACAAATTCAGTTTGATGAATTCATATCATAACTTTTTTTTTTTGCTTTCCCTTAGTTTTTATCGTATCTCTGCTTCGGGTGCTGTCGATTTTTCCATTACCTAGGAACTGAGGAAGTAATAATAAAACTTTATTGATACATTATTCTTGGAAGATTTCAAAAATATCAATTTTCCTAAATACAGTGAGTTTTCGATGGTTTAACCACCCTATATAATATCTCAACGATGCTTTTTTTATAACTTGTCTGACAGTAATTTTAATGCTGATTATTGGTTAAGTTATTTGTTGATTATGTTTTCATGGTTTCAAATCATGTGAGGTATTTTCTATCTAAATTAACCGTACTAAATTAGTAATATTTTACAATTGAATAACTATCTTCAAAAATGTCTACCTCTATACCTTTGAACGCCGATTTCAGTGAATGACGGCCTATTAGTTACCACTATTTTTGTGTTATTCTGAAAGTTCAACGTACAGCAAAGTTTATGAAATTACTTCAATCGGAAATGGATTTATAATTATCGATGACATTTTTCTTATCTTACTATAATTTTACATTTAGAACTTTTCAGTGTGTATTTCACCATGGAAAGTAAATTGTGTTTTGATCTAGATTATATAATCATACTCTCTCTTTAGTTTTTATTTTTTAAGTGTATTTCTTTTTTACTGACCTATATTTGCAACTAATAAATTGTGTGTTGCGAGAAAAATGGTAGTGAAATATTGCAAATAAATTAAGGTATTTACGAGTATTGCATTCAAACTGACAGAAATAATTCACTCTGAAATTTGAGAGGTAAATACAATCTGGCTGGTCGAAGATTCATTTGGTTTGATGTAATCATGAAACGAGCAATATGTTAGAAAAGAAGAATCCCGCATGCTATTTGTTCCAACCAAGACTGCACAGAGAACCGGTCTTGGAGCTACTACCATTAGCACTGTGTTGTATTTCGAATGTGCTAACAGCTCGCCAATTTCCTGGGAATGTTCCTCTTTTTAATTATTTTTGTTTTGGTGTTTCTTGTCAATTTCAGATCCGAGTAGTTAATGCTTTCCGACAGGGCCTAGATGCTCGGTATGGTGAGCACAGCAATACCTCATTAGCCGAGGTTCTCCGCAAACAGACATCCCTATCTAAAAGGTTGTCTCAAACTTCTTCCATTGAATACGCTGATAACATCCCAGATGAATTGACGATACCGGAGATAGACGTTGAGCGATTGTCCTCACATAGCCACACGGAGACAGCTGTTTAGCTTCCTGTCCAACACCAAATAGTCCTACTGCTATCGTGTACTCTGCCTGTTCCTGCTCTGCCTCGATCCTACTATCAACCTAGCGACATACTCGGCTATTCCATTAGTTTCCGAACTCCCCGTTCACGCACCACAGTCGTAGTCGAGAGCACGTAATTGAACAGTCCTTACTGCTGCTGTGGTTGTGAAGTAGAGCACTTTCGGGTGGGTAATTCGACCAGACTTGACTCCACATACTATAATCGCTCTCGATAATCGCAGTCGCCGCGTAAGCTCCTGAAATTCGTTGATTTGTTATTTAGTGGTTTTGTTTTGTACAATCGAAAAACAGGATGCCGTGCTGTCGATATGGACTAAAAGATTAGCAATAAATGAGTGTCTGAGGGTTCACTCATAGCGTTAAATTAGGTGCCTAGATGGGATTCTTCTCAGAGTGGGAATCTCACATAACGAGGGCGCGCGGATTCCTTCTGACCGCGCTTCTTCGCGAGGTTGTTACACAACAGTACTCAGTGTAGTCAGTTCGCACGTCCTCGTTCCCTCTCGCGGCCTGCCGCCCCAAGTCGCTTCCTTCCATCGGGGACGGCTGCCCGCCTTATTTTTAACAGTAGAGATCAGATGTTGTTTGCCAAATGTCTGGGGAGAAGCAGTAAATGTTCACACGCTAATGATATTTACATAATTCATATTGTAACCATATGCAAAGTACTGCCTCTCCCCATTTTCATTATATTGTAACCTAGGTCTAAATATACAGTAGGTAGATTGAAGTCTAATTTAGAGAACACAAATTATACATATATAATGTAATATAAATACGATATGAATTATATGTACCCATATTTCTGTACGTAGGTATAAAGTATATCGTATAAGGTGCTAAGTGCTATTGCTGCACGATGATCCACCAGTTACTTTGTTTTATACATGTGTACTTCATTATTGAAAGCAGTGAATATTATTTAAACTTAGTACATATTTAATAGTCTGTGTATAATGGCGTGCCAGACCAACAGGCTGCGACCATCTGAACTAGTTTCTTATTGCGGAAATGGTACTTGGATCTCCTCATCACTGCTATTTCGGCCTTGTTCAATTTTGACCTACCTACAGTCACCACAATTTCACTCGAGTTAACAGAGGCTTACGGCCTATGATAATGGCATTCCACCGATCTTTCTTCATTCAAGTGGACCCAAAAGAAATCATTAGTTTATATATCTCGATTCATATATTCAGTTCAGGCGTCTCAGGTTCCCGTAGAAAAATCAATACTTACGTTTGACTGAAAACTAGTATGACGTTTGTACGGACAGTAATTGACATGAATGTTCAAAGAGTGACTTTTTTATCATAACTGTTACCATTTTTATCAATACTTATCATGTTATATTTAATTATATTATATTTCAATCGAAGTATTTGCGTGTAGCTTGGAAGTGGCCTGTTTTTCTGGCCCCTTCACGCACACCTTTATACACTACTCCATATCGGATTCATGAATTGATTGGAACATGTTGCCAAATCAGTAGCGTAGAATAAGGTAGGTTCTTCGATTGTCTCCAATTGTAAGACGCGACATGTTCCCACTTATAATTTTAGAAACAAATGTTTCACTTTTTTTACAATATCGGAGTATTATGTTTTGGTAATTTGGCTTGTGTACAGCCTCGAAGAAAACTTTTTACAATCTACCTCATGTTAATATATTTATTTATTCAAGACACCACTGAAAATTGTGTAGTTTTACTAGTATGGGCGACGCTTCGAAAAGCAACTGCGACCCAAATATGTTCGTTAGTCGTCTTCCAATTTGCGACGTGCATCCTTCGAACAATCTAAACGATAAATCCTTATGGCGAAAGGCACACATTCGCCTTGGATTTTGGTAGTTATTTCATTTTTCTAGACTTGGCAATATGTTCCTGTGATAGCTGGATCTGCTAGCGTGGTGATGTCGTCACTAATCTGTACCAATCTAGTCGATCACATACACACATTTATATGTAATTGTCGGATTGTTGTCGAATTGCCCCGGCAGAGCGGTTGCGGTCAAAGTGATCCTACTCCATCATGACACCTTTGGTTCCCCTCGGGGGGTAAAAAAATATTACGCTTCGGAGTCTTACATTTGAATTTCATTCAAGCACCCTCATTTCCATATATAACTAAATTTAATAATATTCATTTTATATAAATCAACTTTTTTGTGGTACAATTTTATCCATTAAATTTCAGATTTAACGCTTTCCTTTGCAAGGACATCTGAAAATGTAGCTTGTTTTAGTTTGTTAAAAAAATGTTGATGAAAAGGACTGCAGATGGAGTAGATTTGCTCGACCCCTTGTCACTTACCTATTGTAACTAGTAGTATAATTTGATTATGTTATTTCCTCTATTTATCTGTGGTTTGTCACAACCTACTCATCAACTCCATTACATGTCTAGTTGATCAACGAACCCATTCATGGTATGATAAGTAGTTATAATATAGTTGTACAATACATCTTGATACACGATTCGGTTTCTTTTCCAGCCTCACAAAATTCACAATTATTTGAAGATGGGGTGTTGTTATAATATTGAGTAATGTATGGTATGAACATTAGTGTCGGTGAGATGCTACTCTCGACTAGCATTTGCTCGCCACCACTGTCACAAAGATATAAAATACTGCAAAAAACTCCCAATTACTCATGCCAAAGTTTGTGACATGGCATTTCAGTTGAATGTTGTTATTCGTAATTTATAATATTACAATATTAAATCGTTAATTTGTTATAGTTGTTATTTTATATAATATAGAGTCGCCTTTGCTCTAGTGTTACTGGCCCACTAGTGGAGAGTGAAATCGAGTATGGTCGTGAACGACCATCCCTGTAAGTTATTTGCCGGGTTTGTTTAAGTTTTTTAGCCTGACGTTTTGCCTACTTATATGGTAAGGAAATTATTCTTTTTGTCTTCATGGCTCATACCATATTGTTCGGATCTGCCATTTAAATTTGTCGGTGGTGGCAGGGTTTCTATTGGTTGAGTAAATTGTATCGTGTTACCTGCTCGATTTCAACTTTGCTTTATCCGTTAACCTCATCTTCACGTCTGCTGATTAGTACGTCCAAAAAATTGAAAAACATGATTTTATTAGACGACAATACTGTTAACTCCACCGATAAACACGAAGACATGCCCACTCACCGATGGATTACATTGATCGTTAGATGAATTTCTTTCGAGAAAGATATTTGATTTGCGAAAACCTCGAGAGGATGTTTTCAAGGAAAGCATCAATCAGAAGCTGAAGCTCGGGTAGAATCGCATTAGGCGGAGCCTGGAGAAATTAGTATGCTAAAGGTATTCCTAGAGAATTTTTCAGTCAACCAATCAGGGGCCAAATAGGAAGTTTTGCAAAGAGCGCAGCTACTAAAAATGTATGAGAAAATTCAAAATAACGATTTTATTCCCATTTAGCACTACGGAAAAACTGCTTGACGGCCTGATGACGGGGAACAGGTCGGAGATTGTCGATCTAATTGATCGACTAGTATTCTCATGGGTCTCCTGCCATCACAGCTAACAAAAATGAGCTGATCAGTGGTACACCCCTCCAGCTCAAGTCTCATTTACAGTGACTCGGATACATCGATAACTGATTATCCCTCTTAGATGACTTCTATCGGGTAGAAGGCGAAGAAATGGATGGCAATCCTGCTCAATCGACAACATCGAAACAAGTGATACGAAATATTCTGAATATTCTACAGTTTTGGAAAATACTGTCAAGCCCTCAAATAATCAAGGCAAGGTCAAACAGCATGCCAGAAAGTGAACTTTTAAACATCCAAACAGTTTTTCCTATAATTGTACATGAGAAAAACGGATAGGTTTAACAACAGAACGAATTGGTTTTCCAGAGAAAGGATTTGGCAAAATGAATGTACGACATGTACAATTCGACACTGACGGTGACCACCTGCATGGAATTGAGGTCGTGGAATATGCTGATCTCAGGTCATGTCTTATGCACATACAAAACCTGAGGTTCACGAAGCCATCGTCCGATTAGTTTACTCTGTTCAAGGATCAAGTTGGCTGAAAAACTTGTCTTACAAATGTTTGAGCAATAAATCAAAGACCGACAACAGTAGATCCAATATTCCACAGAATTTCAGGTTGATTGAAAACACCGTTCATGAGCTCAATCAAAAAAGCACTACCTTGTAATAGTGCTGGATATTGCAAGAGCCTTCGCTCGTGTATGGCTCGAGACCTGTATTCATTTTTCGATTTTGGCCTTTTTTGGGACCTGATGCAATGGAGTGGACCATTTCTGAAGAGAACAACATTTCAGATCAGAGTCGATAAATTATTGTCAAATGACATAAATACGTTGACCGGAATGTCTCAGGAAGGAAGCTGTGTTTTTCCCAAACTGTAAAGTCTTCAAGCGAGAAAGCAATACGCGAAGTATACGGTTCTCCTCGATTCTTCCATAGGTCGCGAATTCAGGATTGGCTCTATTCATCATGCACTAGCCGAGCTCGAGCTCCGGTACCATATCTGGAAGATTCGAGTGAATCTTGACAAAACCCAGGCGATAACCATTGGACGGTAGCTCCAGTAACCATACGATTACTATGGTAAGGATCTAGAGAAGAAAACGAGTACTTGGGTCTATTCAGAGACTGGACATTGACCTGAGCACCTCACATAAATAGCTTGATAGGCGATACAGGAAGGCCAACAAATGTATCCTCCCATTAACTGTCGTTTCAAATTAATGTCAAAAACAAGATTTCATCATATATGATATTCGAACCTGCCAATATATATGCCTCAGGCGATCCGGAAAAAACCGCTCCGGTGAACCTTCTCATTTTGGAGTAGTTGCTAAATAAAATCCTTCGGATGGTGGTGAGTGTTCCGTATTTCGTGCGAATTGATGACATCAGCTATGATTTGACACGACCTTACATTCAGGAAGATAACCTTTAGATGACCTCCCACGCGTCAAAAGACTCACTTCTCCGCGGAGTGAGATCCCTACGGCGCGACGTCAGCGAGCGAAGTCACCGCTCATAATCATGTTTCATTGAGCGGTTTCAAAAAATTTGTTACACAGTACATAAGAAACTTCAATTGAGCATGTATTAGATATGTAAGCCATACCAATGTATCAATTCAAATTTAAATTTAATTTTTTTATTCATTCAATAAAGCCTTATAGGCCTGTTTGAATAATAAATAAATAAATTTCATTCAGAAGTGGTTGTTTTTAAACAAACCGTGAAAAGGGTGAGGCAGTTCTGTAGCTTGGTTTAAATGAAGATGACTAGTGGAATAATTGTTGGTTTCATCTTCGAAATTAACAATTTTACTCCAAAGACGACGAAATTTTGAAACAAAAAGTTAAGTTTGATACTGAAACTTGAAATTTCTTTCCTAGATACAAAAAAATATTTGGCGAGTGGTAAGTTATCTCGGGTAGCGAGTTATAAATGAGAAATCATACAGAAATGAAGATAAATATGTTTTTCCATTAACCAGCTGTTGTCCCCCTATGAACGACAACTCTCAAACGTCGAAACATGTGCGAGCTTAGGACTAACGAGGTCTTGCCTTTTAACGTGTGATTCCTAACACGGGTTGGACGATAGGAAGTGAAACTCGATCGTCCGGCCTTGCGGTTCGAACCACCGGTTCACACAGCGGTCGATTGAGTGTGTGAGGACAAACCACCCATGTCAAATCATCAGGCTACCGTCTCACCGGTAGTGGAGACCTAGATAAAACAACATAGGGAGGTTGACACTCCTATTACCAAAAGGATTATTACCGCATTCAATAATAAACCGCAGTTATTGACGAAACGGCATGGATAATAACCTTACTTACTGAGGAATATTTGCATTACTGAGTCCCCCCTCAACCGAGGATGATTCCACAAGATTTGTTTTGTTGATGTTCAGATAAGATCCGAGGGATATTCTAATTCAAGCACAGTTTACTGTGTAGAAAGTCCCAAGTAACATTACGACGTTACACCCCTCGGGATATTCCTCAGGATAATAAACACTACCGGCGAGGTGTTATTCCCATTCTATCCTCGAAATTGTCATAGGAGAGATATTTTAACACTGTGTGATAAAACCAAAGCGTTTTGAAACACTGTTTTGATTCTCATCTCTCATATCATGTGCTAGGCTGAACCACGAGTAAAATGCTGGGCTTCCTCAAAAGACGAACCTTAGTAAGTGAAGGGTCCTGAGTTCTCTAGTTCCATATAATTGCCTTGCAGTGAAAGACAAAGGACGAATCTGCTTTGGCGGTCAATGTCGAAGCTTGGGTTTGCAACTAACCCCCATGGGAAGCCTTGTTCATCTTTTATATTCGTGGATTGAGTCCTTTGTCGATTCCACAGATGACGTCTTCGTGAGGGAAGAGAGGGGAGAAACATATTTAAAAAAACACAACATTTTGTACTACAAGCATTTCGAAAACAAGCTCAAATTAGCAATCGTGTCACACATATAAATCCCACGGATCACCACTGATCAGGAATTGAGATGAAATTTGAATCGCAAATAATAATCAAGACGTTATATTTGATATTGCCGAGAGTTTCATTCACATAGAAAGAAATTTCACCCCTAAAGATGAACGAAGTCTTGAACAATGCAATCGCTTGTCTTTCTGATGAAATTCGTTATGAGATGGTCGTGAATAGGTGGCTGTTATCAGAAAACCAGAAATAACATTTATAATGAAAATCATGATTTCTTTAGGACAACTTCAGATTTAAAATCACATAATGCACTTGATAATCGTTATGAGGTGCAAAATCACATAAAAAAGTAATTATCAGGAAATCCATCATAAGATATAGTTTTTGGAGTACACATGAACACTGAAACGGGAAGTGAAGTGAATTCAAAATCGGAGATTTGGTTCGAATCAGCGAATACAAAAATGTATTCACCAAAGGTTATACAGCAAACTTCACCACCGAAGTTTTTTAAGTTGTGAAAATTAATATTACAGAGCCTATAACTTATGAGCTAGAATAAATGAATGGATATCCGATCAAGGGTTGCTTTTATAAAATGTTGGTTGGGCGAGTTTTGAAAAGAAAGAAAGTCGCCTATTTGTAAAGTGGTTGGGATTCTCTGGAGATCATAACTCTTGGATCGATGAAAATTCATTGGTGTGATTGCAATATTAATGTATTTGATGAATAAAAACCGGTAAAATAATGAAATTGAATTAATTATTAGACTGCCCCTATCAACCCGACGCTATGAAGTCATTAACTGTCGACATCAAAATATAATTCGAAACACGCAAGCTGAAGTTTCCAGCAAACACCAAAGTATTTGCACTCGTTTCGCAACAACCCACTATTCATCATCGACTGTTCTCACCAACCCGAAGCTATGAAGTCATCCACTATCGACATCAAAATAGAATTCGAAACACGCAAGGTGGAGTTTATGCACTCCTCCTCCACCACGATGCTGTTTCATCATATAGTGTCCTTAATGGCTCTGTTCAGATTGGATTGTGATAAGATTGACATGTAATTCACTATGAAATATTTGATTCTTATAAATAATAAAATCTCAATAACTAATTTCTCTCTTTTATTCACCAAACAATAATTAGATATAGACAAATATACATCGAAACATGATTTCATTTATAATATATACAGTATATTTCAAATATTAACACCACCATTTAATGATTATCCAGTTGTGGGTTGGGACTTCGTGGTTCCACTTGATATTTCTCTATGATATTCAGCGGTAGTTAGGCGCATATGTCGTAAAGGAAAAGTTTCGAGTCTGCTCCAATTATTAGCTCACAGAACTCATCCAAATT